GAACCAAAGTTAAAAATTTAGCTTATTTAAATTTCTTGATTAAAAGGAAATATGGTTCGTATGTCGTCACGGACATATTATTAATTTATCTAATTATGCTCAGTCCGAGTCCGATAAGTTGGTCCTGTCCTCCCGGGGTTTGTCCTGGTGTAGCAATAAAAAACCTGTTTATATATATATATATATATATATATATATAATATTAGTGGAAAATATACATACATATGCAAAATATATAAATACCCATACATGTATATTTTTTGAATAAAAATTCCAAGAGAATAGAATCCAGGTAGAACTCAATGTCCAGGACAGAGTAAGGATATAATAAAAATAATATATGGGAAAGATATTAGAATAATCAAGAACATATACTGGCAGCAAACGGAATGCATGCGGATAGAGAATGAGTTCAGCAGATCTACAAAAATACAAAAGGGGCGTAAGGCAAGGATGTGTCTTCTCACCGGACCTATTCAACCTAGACAGTGAGGTAATTCTGAGAGAATTGGAAATCCTACCAGGATTCATCATTGGTGGCCACAATCTTAACAGCATAAGATACTCAGATGACACAGTGCTGATAGTAGACACAGAAAAGAAATTACAAAATCTCCTACAGAAGGTAGCGAAGGAGAGCAAGAAGATGGAACTAAGCATAAAATACAAGAAGACAAAATGCATGGTCATCAGTAAAAGAATGAGCTCGAAATGCGATTTACAGGTCGGAGACACTAAAATCAAGCAACTCCAGAAATTTATCTGGGAAGTGTTTTGACAGAGGACGGTAAGTGTGATGCTGAGATCTGTAGACCTATAGGGATGGCCAAGGACGTATTCCAAAAGCGGAGTATTACGAGACAGGAGGATTTCGTTGGTAACAAAGAAAAGAATGCTGGACTGCTACGTGACATCTGTCCTCCTTGACGGCAGCGAATTTTGGACGGTCCAATCAAAGATGAAGAAGAGACTCAAGGCAACAGATGTATGGTTCTACAGAAGGATGCTAAGGATATCACGTACAAACGCGTGAGCTACGATAAGGTTTCAGAGAGGATCCAAACAAAGAGGAAGCTTGTATTTAACATCAGGAAGAGGCAGCTGAAATTTCTGGGACACGTAATGAGAAAGGAGGGCTTGGAGAATCTGATACTCACAGGTCGAATAGAGGGAAAAGAGATACAATGGAAGGCAACATATGACATACCTAGCGGGCTAGAGCGAGTGGGTGACAGAATAAGGCCTGGGGTAAGTAGCAGGGGGACAAAACTTATTGAGGGCTACAAGGGATAGGAGGAAGTGGAGAGCCATGATCGTCTACGTCCTGAAAGGACACGGCACATAAAAGAAGCTATCATAAAAGTCAAACATGTTAGATTGATATACGTTTCCTAATTGTTCTTTATTTTATCGGATACCGACCAATATTTGATCTGCATTTGATCTTTAGCTCAATTATATGTTGTCATCCACAGACAGGCTGTTTCGCTGAATCACGGATCATCAGTGAGGCTAGAAATTCGATTGCTACAAGCCGAGATCAAAACAGTACAGATTTGGCGTCAGTCGGAGAATTTACCCTGAGTTTTCAACGCCCAATAGAGAGGAAGGCGGATTTTTACGTACTTATTCTTCGAATAAACACGCCAATGACCGAGATGGCTCAATTCATAGAAGAGCTTTGCAGTATTAGCAGTAGTAGTCATTGTTTACAAATTCGCGCTTTCTCCTAAGAGTGCTCGACCGGAATTTAAATTTTCCGAGGGCGTATATATTGTCATCGACAGACAGACAGTTTCGCTGTATCACAGCTCATCAGTGTGGCTAGACATCCGATTGCCACAAGCCGGGGACCGAAAACCCGACTGATTTGGCATCAGTCAGAATTATATATATATATATATATATATATATATATATATATATATATATATATATATATATATATATATATATATATATATATATGTATATAAATATGTATGTATGTATATATATATATATATATAAATATATATATATATATATATATATATATTATGTATGTATATGTACATATATATATATATATATATATATATATATATATATATATATAAGGCGTATAAAATTTCGATAAGAAATAAACATTTTTCACGAAAAACTGTCCCAAACTTAATAAAAATAGTTTCATCGTCAAGATCTTCATATTATTATTTAGAGTAAAGACAAACGGATTTTTTTTAGATCATTTAATTATACTTTTAAACCTTTTTAGAAACTTTTGAATTTATTTTGTTTTTTTGGGTTTTTTTTTTTTTGCATCAGCCGGTGACCATAAATTAGTATAGGAAATTTTAGCGCTTTTGCCGTGAAAAATGCGTTGATTTGGACATTTTTGAAAAAAAATGAAATATAATTGTTGGATTTTAATAAGATTTTCAGGACTTATTCATAAATGAACAAAATTATTTTAGAATTTTTTCTTTTTCAGAAAATCTTGGTATTTTTTTTTTTTTTTTTTACATCTGTTACTTCCCATTTATTTAATTTTTTGAAATTTCGAGAACTTCAATTTTGAAGGGTTTAATTATTATATTACTTATATGTAGAAGTCTTGGGAGAATTTAAATCGCCAATTTTTTCTGGAACATGCCCCCAGAAAATCTGCTCTGAATTGTAAAATAAAAATGCAATAAAATTAAAATATCATTTAATTAGAATGGCTTTTAAATACTTTTATGAATAAGATATATTACAGACAATATTGGCTTGAGAAAAAAAAATTTCGATAAATAATGAATATTTACAAGAACTGTTTTCATTTTCTTTCAAATTTAATTAGAATAATTTATAATCTTTAAAAATGTTTTAAAATTCTGTATTAATTTGTAGCCCTTAGGTGATATTGTAACGAAGTAAAATCTATATTCACTAATTATAAATGCAATAACTTACTCCAACTCAGCGACCCCAGAATATTGTGTGTGTGTGTGTGTGTGCGTGTGTGTGTGTGTTTACTAGCGCATTTTTTTTTGTAAATACGGACGTCTATAGACAAAGAGCTGTAGCAGTCGTAGATTTAAAACCAAAGTACATAAAATTATTTATAATATTTTCGCAAACAGTTAAAATAGGTACCTCCATGAGATCGCTAAAAAAGAGCATAGCATGATGAAAAACAGACGCCAAACTTGACGAAAACAAAATTTTATCGTCTAAATGTTCATGTTATTATTAAAAGGAAAGATCAAAATATTTTTAAGGTATTTTTTTACATTTTTTAATCGTTCCGAGCACGTCCGAAATTTTCGTTAAAAATCTTGTTTTTTTTTTTTTGAGTCATAAAATTGACAGATAATCGATTATGGCATCCTTTTTTTTTTTAAATCAATTATCATCTTTTCAAAACTTATTTGAAGAAAATCAGAAATTATAATGTTTATTTAAAATATTTTGAACCAAGAGCTTCTGTGCCGAAAAGAGAAAATAAAATAAACCAGGTCATAACCTTTCGCGTCACTTGACAGGTGTAGAATGACGTTTGACGGACTACGGGATCATAATTTGTTCTACGGAAGGTGAAAAGTGAACAAATTATTTACCGCGTTATTTTTAAAGAAAACTTTCAACGCTCTATTTTTTTTTTTTTTTTTCTTAGCTTTCACCTTTACGTTTATGATGCTTTATGGAAAATATATTATAAAGAAATTAAAATAAGACTGTTAAGAGTGAGATTAAATTTCATATTTCACAAGAAAGGTATCTAATTAATTTATAGGTACCTTTCTTATGAAATTTTATCAGAAGTGTACATAGAATACTATAATTTTATGTACATTTATTACCTTTTACTGCGTTATTTGTATTTGCATTCATTTTATTATTAATTTTGATATTTCATTCATGGAAAAATGTCATAACTGAGATTAATATAAAAATAAGATCATATAAATTTCATAAGATGATACTGATACTTGTAGGTACCCTTCTCAGTTGAAATTGCAAAATCAAATTAACTTCTCCACACGTGTTTCTCAAAAGTAAAGGCCTTAACAGCGGAGAACAATGCTTAACTCAAATAACGCAACACAATTGTATTCTGGTTGGTCTTCTGTACTTTATAATTACAGCTCGATTATAAACACAAAATTATATTTCTTAATTACTGCGCATCTTCTGATAAGTCAAAATGATACAATTTACAACGCGCTAAAAAAGTTAGGAAACCCGATGCGGCTTTTAACTAATTTTATTTAAACAACTTAAATGTAAAAATCTAAATTAATTAAAGAAATAACAAATTATTGTATTAAAAATTCATTTTTCATCAAAAAAAATTTTTGCTTTCAGAAAATATTGTCCATATTCATAAAAACAACTAAAAGCAAATAAAAGCATTTGAAATTAAATAATATCTTTGTTTTATTGAGTTTTGTATGTTACAATTCAGAGCTGATTTTCAGGTACGTGGGATCCAATTAAAAACGAAAGAAAAAACATGTTTTGCATTCCTCAAAGCTTTTAACTATTTTAATCACTAAACCCGATGCGATCGAATTTCTAGCGTTTTCATAAAATTAGTTATGTGTAATAATATAAAAAAATAATTCTGCCATGACTTTAATAAAAAAAAGCATATTTATAATAATTTCGATCATCTGTGAATAGTTTTTGAAAGTTTAATTAACATCCGACAGTTATTTTTATTTTTGCAAGATTTTCTAAATTAATGTGTGTCATACAAAAAAAAAGTGCTAAAAATTGTATGTTATTTTACTACTTCCGGTGATACAAAGAGAAACAATGTTTTTTTTTTTCATCAAAATTTAGAATGTTCTAAAAAGAAGGAAAATTTTTTTTAAATAATTAAAAAATTTGGTCTTTCCTCTTAATAGTAACATAAGCATTTAGACGACAAAATTTTGTTTTCGTCAAATTTGGCGTCCTTTTTCATCATGCTATACTACTTTTTTTTAGCGATTTCGTCGACGTACCCAATTTTACTCGATTTTAAAAACAGAAAAAATCAAGAAGAAAGGAATGGAAGAATAAGAAAGGAAGAGGGGTAGGAGATGTTGAGAAGAAGAAGAAGAAGAAGAAGAAGAAGAAGAAGAAGAAGAAGAAGAAGTTCTAAAATAAGATAGAAAAGAAAAGAATAATAATAGGATAATCAAAAGAGGAAGAATAAAAGAGAGAACAATGAAAAAAAAAAGAAAGGAACGTAATCATTGGAATGAAAGAAAGACATTTCTCGAAATGGTTCTTCATATCAAACTAAAATGGATTTTTAAAGTGTTTCCGAGCGCCAAAAACAAGGTCAAGTTTTAGGATAATCACAAAACAAATAATGTCTCGGAAAAAATGTCTGCGTCGATATCTCAATGTGTCAATTAACAAAATGGGCAACTTTATCCCTTTTGCTATTCGAACACCTTCACGACCCTTGTCTAAACTCCTCTCCCCATCTAGTTTCAATTTATATTTCATGGACAATACAACGTGGCTAATGCTAGCAGATCCTGATGAAGTGGTTCTCTTCCCTTTAGGTAAACTATACGATACCTGCTTCTCCATTATCGATCAACAAAGAAGCTGCACGCAGTGACTAAAATGATGAACGAATCACAGTGCCTTGACAGCAAAGTATCGTTAATCCGGAAATTTATTCTTAGTCATTCGGAAATTTTGAAAATTTTATATGTTTCTCTATTATTTTTGTTTTGCGCTGTCGGGTCAACGGAAAGGGTGTGTTGTTTTATGATACCTCGCAAAATAAAGAATGTATTGTTTTATGATACCTCGCATGGCAAATACCTCACTTTTATCATTTTTGTGATCTGATTACAATACAAAATATTATTGAATCGCCGTAAATGAAAACTAAAGTAAGAAGCAGCAGCCACGCGAGTGGCACCAAGACGCAAGAGATCACCGGAAGTGAAAGAGAAGGAAAAGACTTCAGTGAGAACCGGAAACCCACTTCTTAACATGAAAAAAAAAACAACGATAAACCTCTACTCCTGGTCAAAAGACAATGTAGGAGAATGAAACAAACGATAGACGAATCTATCTACACCTCTACTCAATCGATTGAATCGTGCAGGAAACTGGAGTAGTGCTCCGGTGAAGAACAATATGCATATTTATTAATAGTATATACATATATATATATATATATATATATGTGTGTGTGTGTGTGTATGTGTGTGTGTGTGTGTGTGTGTGTGTGTGTGTGTGTGTGTGTGTGTGTGTGTGTGTGTGTAGGCAGCATATTTGAAAGGAAATTTGACATTTTTCTTAATCATTTTTCTAAGCCTACCGCTGAATCCGTGAACTTGAAAGGATCACAATCAAAAGAAATTGATATGATATGTCTTAATTATTTGATCAAACCACTTTTGAATACATATTTACGGTGGATAGATGGATAGCGGCTCGTTTTGAGGAATCGGAGAGCCGAGTTCGAATTCCAGTCGAATCCATTACATTCACTTACGTGCTAAAACCCTTGGGAAAGCTATGAATCCTCTTCTTATCCCTCACAAAGAGATAAATAGCAGGACAAAGGAGTTTGGGGACCCTGTGGCAGGTAGTGCACCAGGTCTCTGTATTCGGCCCTTCAAAAAGTCTGGATGGTTCTGCACAAATCCTTCACCACTATAATCAAAACCCATGTGCTGGTGTCGGGCTTTCGGTTCCTGGGAACTGAGCTGCTTGACCCTCATACGTCGAATATGACGGGAGAGTCGTGTGTGTGTGTGTATATATATATATATATATATATATATATATAGTTAAGTCATGAAAATCTTGGTAATTCGTATGGATAATCCCAAGGAGGATGAAATCCGGAGAGCTCAATGTTAAGTCAGAGCGAATAATTTCATTTAAAGAAAACCAAACAACTTTAAGGTTCCATGGTTATAATTTATTTCCCCAGGGAGTTTCTTTTTCCCTGGATCATCAGACCGAAGGATGGCAAAATTAATTTAAACTTACACTTTTGATGCGTAGTATTAAGCTGGTGTAAGGTGATATAGAGAGTGAAGAGAGATAGTGCGACAGACATGGTCGAAATTAGAGAGGGAAGGGAGAGATAGGAATGGTTTTACATTTATTTTTATTATTACAATACTTAATAATAAGGAATGGGGTAAGGATCAGACATTGACCTATTTAATAGGTCAACTCACTGGAAACAATATAAAAAGAAAAAAAAGTGGGGGAAACGTAAAGATGTAAAGAATTAAGAGATGGATTTAGGCTTGGAAGGTAAAGACATTGACCTATTTAATAGGTCAACTCACCAGAAAAAAAATATACATATATATATATATATATATATATATATATATATATATATATATATATATATATATATATATATAATAATAAATATATATACTACTAATAAATATAAATATACTAAATAATAAATATATATACTAGTAATAAATATATATACTAATAATAAATATTAAATTGTGTGTATTTAGGCAGCATTTTTCCATTGATACATATTTCAATTTCATTAAATAATATTGACAAGTTTTGTCTATTTATTTAATGTAAATTCTTTTCATATCGTCTGATAAGCTTAATAACACTATCATTAAAAGAAGAAAGAAAATCACAATATTGATACATATTTTTTAATCTAAGCTTTCAATCTAAGCTTTCGGCTTACATAAGCCATTATCAAAGATGAATAATGTGTACCTTTTAGATCTTGCTCTCGCTTCTTGAAGATGATTCAGACAAGCAGATTGAAAATTGCTGAGTTCACTAAAACACGTCGATCTCTATTCTACCCGCTCCAAGGCTAAGCGCTCAAGGGTGTTATGTAGTATATTGACAGCTGACAAGTTGCTTTTCAGCTTGTCTTTGTATCTTAGCCATGGGCATCCTACATTCCTGTAGCCCTGATCTAACTGGCTGTACATTAGCATCTTGGTTATCCTGTCATCAGACATTCTCAAGACATGACCAGTCCACCGTAACTGAGACTGTATGAGAAATGTCTCGATTCCTCCAATACTACACCTGTTAAACAGGTCTATGTTAGATGTCCTATCTTGAAGGTTTACCCCACAGATTGCATGCAGACAGATTTTATGGTAAACATCCAGCTGGCGTATATGGTACCTGTATGGAGTCCACGACTCTGAGCCGTATAAAAGGATGGCAAGTACAACAGCTCTGTAAACCCGAATTTTGGTATCCAGTCGAATACCCCGCTCATTCCACAAGTGATGGCGAAGTTTGCCGAAAGCACTGGTAGCCTTAGCAATCCGATGCATGATTTCATCATCCAAAGTTCCACTGTAGTTGACTTTGCTACCAAGATAGGTGAAAGACTTTACATAGTTCAGGGGTTTGTCTTCTACTCTCAATGGTCTCTCTGGAAATTTGTAGACTGATGGTTTTTGTTTCTCACCACGCAATTGCTTCGGAGTAGGACAATGCTGGTGCACTACTTCAGTTTCCTTTATGCTAAGTGTAAGACCAAATGCTTTACATGCAGCAGAGAAATGATTTATTGGATGTTAGGCCTCCTTAAAGGATGTCGCTACAAGAGCCGCATCATCAGCAAACAACAAATCACGAATAATATGCGTACGAAGGTGGGTCTTGGCTTTGAAGCGCTGATGATTGAAGAGACCACCAGTTGTTCGAAACTGAAACTTGACGTCACTCTCTGTGTCTGCAAATGCATATTTCAGCATCACTGAGAAGAAAAGGGCAAAAAGGACAGGGGCCACGATACAACCTTACTTGGAATATATATATACTTGTAATAAATATATATATATATATATATATATATATATATATCATATAACTAGCCACTCGTATTCGAGGGTACCCTCTACTGCAGACGATTTCTCAGGCATATTTTTGTTTGTTCAATAACCACACTATATATATATATATATATATATATATATATATATATATATATATTAACGACCGGTGCATCTATAATTGCAACCGGTGTAACCAGCTTTTCCGGATAGAAAATCGATACTTCTACGGGTTGAAAATTTCAGGTTCCCATGCTGAGAAGAGCTGCCTGGAAGACCTCTAATTGATCGAACTGCAGAAATATCCAGGCGGTGAGGCAGTCTGTTCTGCAATCTCCTACATGTTAAGCACGCAAACAAGTTTCTGCTTTGGGATTGTCTGATCGAGAAGTCAGAAGAATTCTGTAGTTCTATCCATATAAATTAATGGTCGTTCAGAAATTGCAAGAACATAACTGGGAAAATCGCGTATTATGCTGTAACGATATCCTTCAAAATGTTCCTGCAAATGCTGTTCTTCTCACAAGTGAGGAAGCTCGCATTCATCACCCCGGCTGCGTCAATAAGCAAAATTTTCGCTACAGTGTGGAAAATAGCCGTAGACTCTACACAGCGAACGAATGACTAGGTGGTGCAAATTTCGTGTTAGGGTCCGTTACTTTTTGAGGATAGAGACATCTGACCGGTATGTGAACCAAAACTCAGAGACATTTGAAGTACGAATGTGTGGTTTCAACAGGATGAAGCCATCGAACACACAGCAAGAAAATCAATTTAAGCTTTGAGAGAAATGTTTACAGGACACGTGATTTCCATATGCGATGACACTGGATGACCTGCACGCTCACTCGATCTTCCCCCACTTCCCAAAAAAAAAGGTAGAGAATCTGCCAGAAATGGCTCTTCAGGTGATGGAAAACCTTAGAAATCATCTACAACAGTGTATGTCAAATAGAGGCCACCATTTTGAGAATGTCATTTTTAAAACTAATGAAGAAAAATTGAAGCCTTTTTTTAAACAACAGTGAAATATTTTTTTAAAATAACAGTCAAATTTGTCAATCTTTAAAATGTGGGAGGTATTTCTGCCACAGCCTATATATATACTCGGGTTAAAACTAGGGCCATCCTTTCATAGGAATTAACTTCGTCAAGCGTTTTTCCTCTGTCTATGTAATATAGGCAATGAACACTTTTCTGTACTGAGCAGGTAGTTTTTGCCTTTATGTCTTTTTCTTTTTTTCTTGTTGCTGTCCTTGTTCGAAATTTTGCCTTGTTTAAGAGTATGTCTTTTGTCATGTTGTTCCTTGGTTCCATTGACTGTTTTGATTTTACTTAAATTAAATTACTATCAAACTTTAAAATCTGTGTTTATCTAAATTGCTAAAGCTATACCACCCCTCTCCTTCCTCCCAAAACCCTACGTACATCTCTTATATCTATCCCTTTATTTCCCTCTTTTTC